GGCCATAACTGAAAAGGAGCATGTTCAAGGCTGAGAAGTCTGAGAAGCTACATGGGGCACTGAGGCTGTAGGTGGGGGTGGGAGGTGGGAGGTGGGAGGAGTGATAATATTTCTGGAAGTTGCTTCTTTTCATGGCACAGTGTTTCCCACTGACCTCACCAGTCCTCAACTCAGAGGCCTCCATGAAATTCTTTTTATCTAGACCCATAAAGAATAGGAGTTTCTTAGGTTTCTAGTCTCCCAACACACCTTGTCAGATAAGCTGATGTGTACATACATACAGGGTGAGACCAAGGTGGCAGATTGGTTAATTATGGCGTTTCTTTAGGTGTGTGGAGACAAACAGGTTTTTTTTTTCTTTCTCACTCTCTTTTTGAACCATAGGTTGAAATGGTCCATGTCTGTGCCATCTGTGCCTTGCATTTGTAGGATTTTGGTTTTGGGGCAGTGGTTCAGCAAGGCTTTAAAGGGACAGTATCTACTTTGATATTTTTAGAACCTGCCCTGAGGATATAGAGGGAGAATGAAGAGAGTGGAGAAAAAGGTTTCTTCCTCTTCTCATCAGGCCTACCTAACATGAGGTATTTGTAAAAAGATGCTAAAGCCTGCCACTTTATTAGGATTCTAGGCTGTTCTTGACAGACTGTCACTGATAGACAGCCACAGTTTAGCATGCTTCTTAAAGAACTTAAGAAGATGGTTGACAGATTTTGAAAAATTTATTAAGGTCTAATTTACATACTTTTTCTGTTTACATGATGTATATGTCATGTGAGATTATTTGACTTTAATACTCTGGCCTTTTCTTTTTTACTGAGTTCATTTTCCACATGAAAGTTTAGCCTGATAATAGTGAAAAGTTGAGGCTGTGTTCATGCAGGCCTACTATATCAATGTCAAACTCTTTAGCTAGACAATCCAGGTGGGCCACAGTCTGGCCCTACCCTACCATTCTTTGTGTCCCAGCAAGCTATGGACAACCCAATGAACCCTATGCTTCTTGCCTCCAGACCTTTGCCTACTCTGTTCTTTTTTAGCTGGAAGTATCTCTCCCCTTTCTACCTTTGGAAATCCTGAACCTTGTTAAGGCCCAATTCAAAAAAGTGAACTTCCTTGTTGCCTTCCCAAAGAAGGCTTTTAGCCTTTGGTTTGCCCTTTTGTGCCTCTGTCTACAAAAATACTCAGCTCCACAGTCCAGGGGCTGACTCTGCTTTTCTGTCTCCTGTGTATCCAACACAGTGTCTTGCAGAAAGAAGCCCTAGTAAATAAATATTTAAATAATGGAAGAGTGGTATTTTCTTTTTTATTATTTATTTTTTAGTTGTAACTGGACACAATATCTTTATTTTATTTATTTATTTTTATGTGGTGGTGAGGATCAAATCCAGGGTCTTGCACATGCTAGGCAAGCACTCTACTGCTGAGCTACAATCCCAGCCCCAAGAGTGGTATTTTCTAAACACAGCTGAAAATTAGCTTTTAAAAAAAATACATATGACTTTGACTTGGACCTCATGAGATTGTCTTGAGATTTGAGAGTCCTGGTTTGAGAGTTGCCCACCATGTATCTCTAAATGGGCTGTGTATATATTTGGCTTGGTTTTCATCATTTGTGGGAAAGTTTTATAGCTCTTAATACAATAGAATTTCAGCAGTATGAGCGACAGTGGATTTAGAGAAAATCCACATCATGGGTTTGGAAAATAGGTCAAAATCATGACAAAGAAAGAAATAAATTGTTGAAGGAATTGGGAATGTTCAGCCCAGGAAAGAAGACCTAGGAAAGACCCAGAGTCATTGAATGCTAGAGCTGGAAAGAAACTGGGAATATCTAAGGAATTTCCTTTATTAGATAGGGAGTTGAACAAAGTTGCATCTGAGGCTCCATGTTCTGTAGTTCTTTTCCTATTTTCTGTTCTGATTGATAGAAAACTTTTTTTTTTTTTTTGACAGTGGTGGGGATTGAACTCAGGGCCTCAACACTTGCTCAGCAAGCATTTTACCACTGAGCCACATCTCCAGCTCCGAAAACTATCAATTCACCTTTTATATTCTCAACTGAAAATAATATTATAGTTCAGAATTTCAAACTCAGACATTATATTTTTAGGTTTTTAACAGAGTCATAGTTTAAAAAAGAATTTTCCATCCTGTTGTTCAATATTCCTTGCTCATTCATCATTCATAAGTTCATCAAACAAAACCCAAATGGACTCAGGTAGCACTTTGTGTTGGGAAATTGCAGTCATACAACTTCCTTTTTTGCATTGTTTGTCAGGGAACTTAGAGTCAAACAAGGTCATCTTCTGAAGCAATTGACTCAAACCAGTGCTTGGTGTGTCTGTTTTCCCACTTTTTTTTAAAATTGACTTATATTTTTTGAAAATTATAAAAGGAACACATGCTGCAGATAAAAAACAAACCAGACAGAACAATTCCCAAAGTGTACTGGTAAACTACTGGCATTCTTGTTAGCTTTGATCTGTATTCATCTTGTTTTTACTTATCTTGTGCTCTATATGTTTTAATATAGCACAGTACCTGAAATTCATATTGTAAATAAAATATTATATTTATTTTATTCAAACCTCAGATGTTTAAAATTACAAATAATTGGATTCCTGGCATCCAGAAAACACATTTGCATCAACTTTACCATGTGATCTCCAGATTGCTACTATTGTTGCCAATGGTCAGGCATGGTTCTGTGAGGTGCTAAAATATGTATTTTTTTAAACCTGTAACCAGTCAACTCTGCCTTCTAATCTTCTCCATACTCATCCTAATTGCATCTAATTCATTTTAACATCTTTTCTTTCTGTCCCTTCCCAAAATAATATGTGCTCGGTCCGTGTTCTGTTCTTTTTCTTAATTTTTTTTTTTTGATACCAGGGATTGAACTCAGGGTTACTCAACCACTGAGCCACATCCACAGTCCTATTTTTTGTATTTTATTCATAGAGACAGAGTCTCCCTGAGTTGCTAAGCACCTCACCATTGCTGAGTCTGGCTTTGAACTTAAAATATTCATGTCTCAGCCTCCTGAGCCACTGGGATTATAGGCGTGCACCACCGCACCTAGCCTTTTCCTTAAATTTTGAAGTCCATAATGACATTTAGTGTTTCTAATCATCACTTAGAATAAGGTTACTCATTATGCTGGTCTTTGTAGTAATACTGGCACATGTGGGACTCTGGCAGCATGAATGTAGTCAGATATGATTCTGTCACACCAAGCCCAGAAAGGACCTCATAGACAGAGCACTCTTTATCTGCTAGTTCTGCCTCTGTTGTTACTACCTTGAGTGAGTACATTGAGGTTAATAAAGGGCTTTTTGTAAGAGTTGGGATTTTTAAATTTTCAAATCATCTGACACTGTTTTAAGGATTCTGTTTCAAGAACTTAAAGTGGTATTCTACCTTCCAGTGTTTTATTCTATCCCATCTTTCATTTGGGCTTGCTTCTGGGGAAATAGTGTGTTAGACTTGCTGTTTCCAGCTGTAAGCTACAGACTACTGAATTGCAGGTCAAAGTGGAAGTCTGGAGCTCTGGGCTCTGGTAGACCCCTGGGCTGTGCATGCAAATGTGTGAAAACACTTCTGTTAAAGGAGAGTATGAGGAAGAAGGTCAGAGCCTAGATTGCAAGTAAAGAAACAAAAATTTGTCACTTCCCCCACTGTGGTGACTCCATGTGAGGAGAGGTTTCACCTTTATCCAGGTGACTTTTTTTCCTGAGTGGGGAGCTCTGGTGCCAAGTACCAGCTCAGACTTCCCTGGGCTGGAGTCAGCCTCCAGCCCTAAACAATTGAACTAGGAGCTTTGCCTCTAAATCTCCCTCTTCCCCCATTATCCCAGATTAATGTTCCTAATGCTCTTTTGATGTTACTTTCCTTTTCTCAAATTTTCAGGGGCCATTGGTCAGGTCTATTCAGGACCCTCCAAAATTTTTCCCAGATCTTTATTTCCAACAAAGCTGGCTAGATGGTATCACTTTCTTCCTACTTTCTCCCACCTTCTCCTTTATCTCTTTACTCTGCTTCATTTTATAACATGTCACAAAACGATATAAGAGTGTCTTCTCAGAGGACCTGGGTTCTGTCCCAGGTTAAGTTAGGTACTTAGGTTAAATTATTATAATTCCCCTTGCCTCTATTTTCCCAAATGTAAGAGAAGGAGGCTACACTAGGAGACTTCTGGGTCCCTTGCAACCCAGTCATTGTAGACAGAGTTAACTTTTTCCTTGGCTACTTAGGAAATAGGGCTCTTTTCTGTCTGCAACATTTACCTTTCATTGTTTGGGATTGTAGTTAACTTTCTTTTTTTTTTTTTGGTGTTGGTGCTGGGGATTGAACCCAGGGCCTTATGCATGCAAAGCAAGCACTCTATGAACTGAACTATATCCCCAGCCCTGTAGTTTTTTTTGTCCTATTTTTTGAACATATTTGTAAACTGAGAGACTCAATGGTGAAGCTACTTTCTTAGGATGTGGGTGAGGGAGAGGGATAGTGAGGAGTTTCTACTTTGGGCTTCTACCTTGTATCTAAAAACTGAGAGGAGATGGGATTTGTAAAAGGTTTAAGGTTTTTTCTTATGCCCCCTGTCGGGAGAATTTTTTTTTTTTTAAAGGAGGTGCATGTTGGGGCTGGGGATGATGTAGCTCAAGCGGTAACGCATTTGCCTGCCATGCGCGGGGTGCTGGGTTCAATCCTCAGCACCACATAAAAATAAAGATGTTGTGTCCACCGAATACTAAAAAATAAATAAATAAATATTAAAAATTCTCTCTCTCTCTCTTTCTCTCTCTCTCTCTCTCTTAAAAAAAAGGAGGTGCATGTTTACTGCAAGTAGAATGCAGTCTCCCAGATAACCCCTTCCTGTCTGCTGCGAGGCTGCTGCATCTGTGCTATTGGACTGGCCTTCTGCTGCTGAGGTTTCAGGGTGCCGGTCCTCAGGAATTGAGGGTTTGGATGATCACTTCATCTTTCACCATGTGTTTCAGGGCCCTGTTTGATTATGATCGGACTCGGGACAGCTGCCTGCCAAGCCAGGGGCTTAGTTTTTCTTATGGTGACATTCTACATGTCATTAATGCCTCTGATGATGAGTGGTGGCAGGCAAGGCTGGTGACCCCACATGGAGAGAGTGAGCAGATTGGCGTAATCCCCAGTAAGAAGAGGTAAGTTGTCATGATCACAAGCTGATGTGTCTGTCTTATTTTCCTGTTATACCATAAATTGCATGAGAGTGGTGGATGTGCCTTGATAAGACTTTCTGGTCTTGAACTGGTACTTTGGACATGGTTTTCACTTTGTGAGCCAAGGAGTAGCTGCTCTCATTGAGCAGCCCACCTGCCACTGAGACCATGTGCTGGTAGTAACAGGACTTCTTTTTGACTCCCAAACAGAGTGGAAAAGAAAGAGCGAGCTCGATTGAAAACTGTGAAGTTCCATGCCAGGACGGGGATGATTGAGTCTAATAGGGTAAGTGGGGACCCCCAAGGAAGTCATCCAGGATGTGAAGAAGAGTTCAGTCTGATATATAAGAGAACTGGGGAGCACAAAAAATGTCTCTTTTTCAGGGGTCTGACTCTGAAATGTCAGAAAATTGACTGCTTTTCAGAAGCAGAGAGGGAGCACTTAAAGTCTGCAGCTAGTCTGTGCCCCTGCCCCTGGGTAACTGGCTCTGGAAGATGTGCTGGAGTTGGCTGACTTGTTGGGGAACATGAAGACACTCATGGGTATCTTCCTGGCTACAGACCCTGTCAGAGCTGTGGGGAAGAACCTGTTCTCATCATCCTGCCAGAAAGGCCTGTCCCAAGCTCCCACCTCCCTTCAGACCACATGAGGCAGGAGGGCTTCTGCATTCACCCCTTTTCTTCTATAAGCTTCACAGGCCAAAGAACTTCCGGAGCAATAGAGGGAAGAGAGGCATGGAGTAGATGACTCTGTGTGTATCAGTGACACCTTAGGGCCTGTGTCCAGGAGGCTACAGTGACCTTTGTTCTTTAGGAAGTGCCAGTGAGTGCTGTTGAGGCTGGATTAGGTAGAAACTTCTAACATCCCCACAACATTTTCCTGTAAACATAATTTTCCTCTTACATCAACTTTCATTTAATCTCATAGACTCCATTTGTGTAAGATGGTCTTTTATTTAGCTCACCATTGTCTCCATTTTAGTTTTTCTTGCATGCTTTAAAATCCATTGTTCTGTTTTTTTTCCTTCTGTCCTTCCCCTCCATCTTCATGTTCTTTCACAGTCGATCAAAACGAAACGTAAAAAGAGTTTCCGCCTCTCTCGAAAGTTTCCATTTTACAAGAGCAAAGAAAACATGGCCCAGGAGAGCAGCATACAGGAACGTAAGTAGCAGCAGAGTCCAGAGAGCAGACCATCCTCAGCCCGGTCCTCTCGTCCTCAGCTGCCCTTCCCTCACCAGGAGTCTGGGCGAGGGCAAGGGTGTGTGTCCACACAGTGCTTATTTCCAGAGTCAGGGCAGAAATTGTCCTGCAGTGGGTGATGTTGGGGCTTATCTGCCCAGCTCCTCACTTGGAATGAATGTTGGAAGTTCTGAAGTGGGACTGGTCCCAGGGCCATCCTCCAGGATGTCCCTGGCACTGGTGTTGAAAGTGCCAGACGGAGCTCTGCTGTGGTGGCAAGGAGCAGGTTTCAGCCAGTGTTCAGGGTTAGAAAAATGTGTGTGTATGTGTTTTTATTTTTTTAAGAGAACAAGGTCTAGGGACTCGGTGTTGTTCTCCTGGCTTCTTCTTCTTATGTTTTCTTTCCCTTAACTTCACTCATCTATATCAAGAGAAGAGCCTGTTCTTCCCCAGATTCCTGGCTCCAGGACTACTTCTGGAATTCCATGTATATGCATAAGCACACAGGATATCCACATGGCCTGCAGCAGGGTCACTGTCATCCCAGAGTGTCAACAGAGTGTTTCCATCTGAAAATCCTTCCTGCTTAAATGGGTTGTCATGGAAGCAGTGTTACTCAACATTGTCTAAATAAAGGTTTATTGAGAAACACAAAGTTGATTTGGTAGAAAAAACTGTAACGCTGAGGTACCTTAATTTTAAGAACTAATCCTGATAAATCTTCTTACCATACTGTATGCCTCAGAAATTAACTGTTCTGGCCCTGACCTTAAACATAGTATCAGACTTGAAAAAAAAAATAGCTTATTGTTTGTCTCACTGTGAATTGTAAACATCTCTCGTTTACCATTGATCTTGTAGTCTAGGACTATTGGAACTAGCAGGAGGATGACTCGTTCTGATAGGAAATGGCATTTTTTAGGCCTTTCTGATTCATGGTCCTGGTATGTGGGGGTTGCTGCTGTCTGGGGTATACCTGCTAGATACTAGGTACCCTCATCCAGATGAGGTCAAGACTCATCATTGTGGGGTCGTTTAGTGACAGGGGAAGTTGGTTCTTCCCATGAGCAATAGGAGGCTATTGAGATACAGTTCTGAGGTGATGTCACCACAGTTCACCAGATGAGTCCCAGAATCTCTGTGCAGAGCCCAGCCTTGGGAGGTGTCACTGCTGAGTTGTCCAGCTGGTGGGGGTGCCTGTTGGGCAACAGGGTTGAAACTGCCCAATGCCTATTCTCTAGAAGCTGAACTCATCCAAGCAGTTAGAAGTCACACCTCAGACAGTAGCAGTTTTCCCTGAAGGGTTTAGACAGAGTGAGGCACTATTGGGCAAAAGCTCCCCAAAATGATAGTTATTCTGTCTGCCTGCTATGGCACATGTAGACATGTGCCCACAGAGGGGAATGATGATTTTTTTTAAAACACAGAGACTTTGGGCTCTACAACTTTGATCAAAGCAGGTATTCCATGCTTTAGAGTGTCGCCTGTCATGTCCTGTGGGGCTATGGGCTATGGACAATCTTAGAAAGCTAGTCCACTCCAGAGCCCTTTGGCAAGAAATAGAATAGCATCAAGTCCAGATACTTGACCTGACCTGACCTGGGATGTTCTTTCTGTGGTGGAGTTCTTCACCTTGCTGTAGCTCTAGGTCTTCATGGTATTTCATACTTCTGTCACTAATGCTCACCTGCCTCTGTATTCTTCCTTCCCCTTGTCTTTTTTTCTCTGTGTTTTCCTCTTCTCCCCAATTCTCTCCCTCCCACCCCTCCCACCCCTTCCACCCCTCCCCCCTCTCTTTGTTCTTGCTGTCCGTGAAATTAGGACTTCCCTGGGTTAAGTGACGATTATTATGGAGCAAAGAACCTGAGTAAGTCAAACTTGCACACCATTGACTATTTGTGGCATGGTTGAAGGTAGTGGAGGGTGGGGGTGTAGGGGACATGGATGAGGGTAAAGGGTGAGGGGAGGGCAGTTCTTTCAATAACTCTGTTCCCATGGCAGGAGGAAGGGCATGTGACTCCAAATGTTATTACTTTTGCTCTGGATCCCTGGTACCTAATAATTTCCTAGCATTCATGTCTGTGTTTTCCTTCTGCACCTTCAAGTGGTGGGCCCTCAGCATGATTCCCCAGGCAAGCACTCAGCTCATGTCTAGCTTGTAGTCAAGGGGAGGGTGCCTGTTGGTTGACTTCTCCCAGTGACACCATACCAAGTGAGCTTAGGGAATGTAGCTCTTATAGCTCTTACCTCTAACTAGGAGTAAGGGCACTGAACCCCTGCACCTGGTCTATCTCAGCAGAGCCAGGCCCTCAGTATACAGCACAGGCTTACTTAGAGCCTCTAAGGGGCTGCACCCATCTGGTGGGGACTTCAGCACCACTTATAGAACACATATATCTAGTGCTTTGTCTTGGGGAAAGTTTGACCTCTTCATCATGGAAAATAATCCCAGGGTGGAAAATGAAAGGACCTAGAGGATAGGGCCTTATGGGCTATCCCTCTGTGTGTAGAGGGATGTAGATCCACAGCCTTGCCACTGGGTTCTGTAAGCACGTACTCTCCTTCAATAAGTAATAAAGGCTAAGGGTAAAGGAGCTGACACCAAGGGTCGGTCAGGGGCTAGCCTTGGGTGGCAGCTCAGCCAGTCCTTCCTGGGGGAGCCACAGCATATCATGGTCTGGAACAGTGTGGCCTTGACTGAAACGAGCAGCATCTCTCCATAGTGTGGTGTGTCTATGTCTCATCTTCATCTGCCTGTCATCCTGGGAGGGGTGTGTTTTGTTTGGGCCTTCTGTGAAAGCTACTCTCTGCTTGAGTTCTTTCCACCCACACTCACAGATGGGAAGGTCCCAACTATCCGAGACAGGGTGGCTGTCTTGTCCTGGAAATGTCCTTGTTGCTTTGTTGTCTTTGTGTTTTGACACATCTGTCTTAGGGTGGATCAAGGTGTATCCCTCTCCTTCTTAGGAGTGGTGGCAAAAGGGCTGTGGGTCCCACTGGAGGTCAGAGCAGTGTTCCCTGGTGACTGCTCAGCCTCTCCAGTGTTTAGCCCAAGAAGTTGTGGAGTACCACATGGTCCTATACTTCAGGGGCTCTGTCTTGGGGAAAATTCATGAGTAGCATGGTCCCTGGACTTTTCTCTGCATCTGTCCCTACCTTTTCTTTCCTGCCATTAGCCTTGGGGGATGCAGTTTGTGATAGGATTTGGAAACCATCCAAGTTGGTTTGTTTGGTTCAGATGAAGAGAATGATGTGGAAGGAAGTGAGTCTTCTAGTGCCTAGGGAGAGACTTGGCAGACTGAGAGGGCTCTGGGGACAAGTAGGAGGTGTCCAGGGTGTTAGGATTGGAGCTGTGCCTCCCAGTTGGTGGCCTGGATGTGGCAGGCCTCCTGTGGCCTGACTCAGTTGGAAGCTCAGTGTCTCATTCCTGAGCATTTGAGTTTTGTGCTGCATGTGATCTCTCAGTGGTGTGTTCTGAATTGGAGTCTCTTTCTTGTTGGCTTGCAGAGGGAGTGACATCCAACACCAGTGACAGCGAAAGCAGTTCCAGTAAGTGTGTGTCATTCCCCCCCATGTCATATAGCTCCACCATGTGTCCCTGCCATCCTCATTCCAGTGTTGCACAGCTGCCATTCCTGCTCAGAGGCTGCTGCTCCTTTTAGCCATGTACACTTTGAGACCCTGGAAATGCTGTGGCCATTCGTTCTCCTTGTGGGATAGAGTTTGCCCTATGAATTAAAGGAGAGTATAAGCCTTGTAGTTCTGGCCAGAACCAGATTTGAAAGCATCCCTGGGGCCCTGGAAAGGGTGAACTGCCAAGGAGCAAATCTCTGCCATGGGCACTGAGGGACTTAGATGCTGCCAGGTTTCCAGATTTGCTCAGAGACCAAAAGCAAAATGTGTCCTATGAAAAACTGTCCTGAATCTGCCTTTCTAGGTTGCAAGGACCTCCTTACCTTTTGGCTGGGTCACATAATCAGGAAGGAAATTACCCAGTTTTCCTTGGGAGAGTCCGTGACTAGACCATAGAAGCCACAATTTGAACCTCATGATCTTTGGGAACATTAGCCTTTAGGAGCTGAGATGGCTAGATGCCTTAAAAATACTACCAGGAGTATTAGGCTCTGAAGAAGCCTTTTAGGAAGCATCCTATGGCTCAACATAGCTATCACTGCCTTCCCTGTTAACTGTTGTCAGATACTTGGGGACCTCCAGGTATCTAGTGCCAAGCAGCTTGGCAACTATTTCAGGAAACCCTCGTCATTGCCAGGCTACATGGAGCTCCACCATGAGGAGAGAGCAGGCTCAGTGTTGCTCTTAAAGGGCACCAGGACCTTGGCCCAGTCATGTACCACTTTTCTGGATGCTTCATCCAGAGGTTGGGTAGAGGGGTGGGTAGGTAGACCCATAAAAGGGCAGAGTTCAGCTGCAGCTTTGGGGATCTGCATGAATACCAATTCTGCCTACAGGTGAAAGGTCTCAGGCAAATGTGTCTCGACCACTTGAAGTGTCCCTGTGATTCTTTCTAGAACACAAGGGCCACTGAACACACTCAACTTACCTATAAGAAAAGTTTAGGGGAAAATGGGGTGGTTTTGGGTGGAAGCTTCATTGCTTCTGGATCTTAGCCCTCTACTCAGAAGTATTTCACTGAATACGAGAACTGATGACACTGCTCTGGGCCAGCAAGGCTTCCCACACCTTCTCACCCACTGAAAGCAGAGAGGATCATGGGGCAGGTGGTATGGAGAAGGACCACTGGAGAAGATAGTTTTGTGGCTGGGTTGAGGGTACAGTGAATGTCATATACAGGGAAGCAGATCATGAAGTGCTAACCTATCTCCCTTTTTTGTTGCAGAAGGACAAGAAGATGCTATTTTGTCATATGAGCCAGTGACAAGGCAAGAAAGTAAGTCCCCTTCCAAGACTCTTGCCTTTATGCTAGTCTCCTGCTCATGGTGATCATCTTGGGCTACCCATAGCAGCAGAAGGAGGGGGTTGAGGGAGAAGGAAGGCTCAACTCATTGCCTATCCAGCCCCTGGGACATGGCAAAGGTAGAGACCATCCATTGTGCTCCTCTTGCTCTTCTTTTGCCCATTGCTGGGATGCCTTCCAAGGAGAGGGAAGATTTATGAGAAAGGAAAGAAGGAAAGGGGATGTCTATTTTAGTGAGTGCAGCCTCTGCTAAAAGAGAAGGCTCAGATCCTCCCTTCAGTGTCTGCTTGACCAAAACCTTGCACAGTACTGGTGTCAATGTAGAGATCTCTCCTGAGTCCCTTGGAAGGGGAGATGTTCCTGGTTTCAGACTTGCCTGGGACTTAGATATTCTCAAACTAGCCAGGCGTGGTGATGCACACTTGTAATCCCAGCAGTTTGGGAGGCTGAGGCAGGAGGATCTCGAGTTCAAAGCCAGCCTTAGCAAAAGCGAGGCCCTAGGCAACTCAGTGAGACCCTGTCTCTAAATAAAATACAAAATAGGCTGGGGATGTGGCTCAGTGATTGAGTGCCCCTGAGTTCAATCCCTGGTACCACACCCCCTGCCAAAAATAAAAGATATTCTCAAACTAACGGCTTGTTGATGTCTTTTTAGTTTTCACTCTGGTAGCTCCAGAGCTACTGTGTTCTAGTCAGACTTAGCAGTGGACTGGATTCCTTGTGGGGCTTCTATTCACTGTCTCAATGTTCTTCCTTCCTAGTTCACTACGCAAGGCCTGTGATCATCCTGGGTCCAATGAAAGACCGAGTCAACGATGACCTGATCTCTGAGTTTCCACATAAATTTGGATCCTGTGTGCCACGTAAGAGCCCAGGCAGGCCCAAAAGAAGCAGAGGCTGGGGCCTGGAAATTGCTGCTCTGGGATCAGATCTAGGGTTCTTGGGAATAGGATTCATTTGATAGTCAGGAAGAGCATAGGCAGTAATATATTCTCCAAGAATTGATGGAGTTGGGAGGACTAAGACACTCTTGGCTTGGCTGCTCTCTGCCCTGGAGAGAAGTTTGGCAGTGGTCAGGAATGATTAGATGAATGGGGTAGACCAGCCAAAAAAAAAGTAATTTTTTTTTTGTTCTGTGACTCAATGAACCATTTATTAGGTTTACTGACTCCCATGCCAAGCTCCATACCCTCTGCTCCACCTTTTTGGTCTAGTTTATGCTAAAACAAATAGTCTCCACTGTGTGAGAACTGGAAGTCAGAAGAGAAGTAGACAAGACAGACTTCTTGACCTTTTTCTTCTCATTCAATTGGAACAATATTGGGGTGGCCTTGTGACTCTCCCAGATTAGAGAACCGAGTGAGCTTTAGTGGCCCAGCACAGATTATTGCCCTTTGGTAGCATAGCATTTCCTTTCTTTTTTCAGATACCACCCGGCCTCGGCGTGATAATGAGGTGGATGGACAGGACTACCACTTTGTGGTGTCCCGAGAACAAATGGAAAAGGATATTCAGGACAACAAGTTCATTGAGGCGGGCCAGTTCAACGATAATCTGTATGGGACCAGCATCCAGTCAGTGCGGGCAGTTGCAGAGAGGGTAAGCAGAGAGATGTCCTGATTAACTGGGCCCCTCAGAGTGAAATATTCCAGCCCAAGTTTCAACACAGAGATTGCCAGTGGTAATCTCAAAGCCACACAGTTCTGCATATTTTCATCCTTTTGATAAAAGAGCCTATTTCCCTTACAAAAATTCATACTGAAACATCACCCACCATGGAATAGGGACCTTTAGGCAGAAGGAGCCTTTTCTGGATAGTAGAAGCAAAAAGTAGGGCCAGGGTACCTCAAGAATAGAAACTTCTGGGCCACTCTGGGAGGCTCTGGGTCCCCCTTTAGCGGATGTTTGGAATGCCACTGGATTTCTACTTGGAATTGGGTGGACCAGGGGTAGGTTAGCTGATACAGGTCTTCTTTTTCAGGGCAAACACTGCATCTTAGATGTTTCCGGCAATGCGATCAAGAGACTGCAGCAAGCACAACTTTACCCCATTGCCATTTTCATCAAGCCCAAGTCCATTGAAGCACTTATGTAAGTGTCCACTGAGGCTCAAACATAGCCAGATAGGATGGTGCCCTGGAAAGGAAATGGAGAACAAAATAACTTGTTGGCCAGGGATGGAACCCTGTAGAAGCTTGAAGGAAACTGTACCCTAGCTGAGACCACGTGCCTCTCAGTCCGTTTGGCGTGCCTGTCATGTGCCCTTGGTTGGGATTTTAACCCTGAAAGATTTGAGGAAAGAGTTGGCCATGGGCCACCATGAGAGAATAGTTGAGCAGGTATTCAGGAAAACTGGAACAATCCTGTGTTTTAATGAAAACATAAGATCTCCTTTAGAACTAGTTTTTCTTCTGTTTCTTTGGTAGGGAAATGAATCGACGGCAGACATATGAACAAGCAAATAAGATCTATGACAAAGCCATGAAACTGGAGCAGGAGTTTGGAGAATACTTTACAGGTAAGAATCCCTGAAGCCCAGCCAGGGGTACTATGGGACCAACCAGACACCTGATCCTGAAAATGTCTCAGGGAGGTTTAGCCAGAGCTTAGGAAGCCTGTCAGAGTTTCAGGATGCTTTGGAGCTATTGAGCTCAAACCTTCCTAAGCAATCAAGTTCCCTCCATCCGGCCATAGTAGGTTAGCCATTTTGTAGCATAAACACTCATTAGCTGCTGCTTTGGATCATTGGTATATTCATTCTGTCTTCCTGTCCCTACTAGATTGCAGGCCCTCTCTATTATAACTTTGTTTCCCTCCATCTCTTCCTCGTATTTGCCTTGCATGTTTCAGGTGCTGAATAAACATTTGGTAATGATTTCTTGGAGTGGTGTTCAAATTGTCTGTCAATGTGTACATGTGTGTATGAGTGTGTTTGTGTGGTCACTTACTTTAGAAGGTCATTTCCCAAAAGGTTGGGAAGGCAACCATCCCTCACCTTTTAAAGTACAGTGACATATGTATGTGTGTACAGGGTGGTGCTGAGGAAATTGAGGCTGGTGGTGCTGCCAGGTTTTCTGGGTAAAGAATTCAGAAATGTACTCGCCTGCCTTGGGTCTTTGGAGCTCCCTTTACTGTCAGCATCCATGTCCTTGTTTGTTGGGCTGACCTCTGACACAGAGCAGATGTGACAGCCCCAGGAGCACTGCCTTTTGCCAGAAATTGTGGTTTTTTGCTTTTCCTCTGGATAACTGGAATTTTCCAAATCTTTGAGGGAAGCTGCTTTAGAATTACAAGCTGCTGGCTTTACAGTGGCCAAGAGCAACATGAGCTGCAGTTTCTGGCATGTAGTGGGTGCTCAGTAAACATCTTGTGAATAAACACATTTTCCTGTTCATTGCTACTTACTCTCACTGTCTCAGAGAGTTGACTTGTAGCCCTGTGCACAGGCACCTAGCCAGTTCCCCTCCTGCCCTGAACTCGCTGACAGTTGACTAGTGAAGCCAGCCTGGGCTTCTGTGAGTAGCCATCATGCTGGGAGGCATTGTAGGATTGTTGGGAGAGGCAGGATGACCGGGGTTTGGGCAGTATGCTGTGGACCACAGTAATAATTTTGTTTTCCTCTTCACTTTAGCCATTGTACAGGGTGACTCACTGGAAGAGATTTATAACAAAATCAAACAAATCATTGAGGACCAGTCTGGGCACTACATTTGGGTCCCATCCCCTGAAAAACTCTGAAGAATCCCCTCCAACCATTCTCTTGTGAACAGAAGAAATCAAGTCCCTCTTCCCTCCTCCCTCTTCATTCCTGTCCCCATGGGGAGAACAAATGACTACTGTTCTTGTCCCCTTTTTTAGATATGTCAAAAAAATTGAGTTTTCTAGTCTTCTTTTTTTTTTTAATTTTGTTTTGTTTTCATTTATTTTTTGGGATGATGCCATCTCACTCATCATGTGACTGTGCCCATTCCTGCATGGACCTTTCCCAAGCACTATCACAGGTGCAAATCCATCAGAGCCATTGTTTTCATAAAAACCAAGCAGAAGCGAAGAGAAGAGAGGAGGACTGATGGAAAGACAGACTCTGGACAGCTGCACGGCTTGTGAAGTGAGCTAAATGCAGCACATGATGAGGTGCTCCTGGGCACTTCTCCCCATCTGTACTGCTGTCTTGCAGCTCTGAACAGTGCAACGTAATGGCAACAGGAAGTATCTTATTTATATATAGATATATATATGTAATTTATATAAAATATATAGAAATTATTATATATATATATTATACACTCTCCTATAATATATATATATATATATTCACACACATTGGGACTAGAAAATCTATGGAGACTTCGTCAATGGTACTATGTTATTAGAGAAACGCTTTAATTTTCATATTCCAATCAGATGGCATCTTATATCCCACCTGGTTGAGAAGGGTTTGAGAATGGTAGAAAGTGCTGTACGGAGGGCATGCACACTTGGTCATTCTCTTGAGAGCTAAGGCTTACTCTTGACAGGGTCAGCCTGAGGCCTGAGAGAAAGGGCTTTGGCCTGGGAGCATGAAGTTTGGAGACTTGACCTGAGAGCAGCTGCTGCCCTGAGGTGCAGTCAGTCCTGTGTGCGGAGAGAGAGAGAATGGCTAATGATGCTCCATATAAAATTGCCTATTGTTTTATGCCACCTGATGTGTCTGCATGAGAGGTTTCCTTTTTGTTCATTTTTAAGCTGCTGTTAAACCAAAATCATGTTGTGCTACTGTGTCAGCCTTTTCATTATTCCAAATTTTACTTTTACTATTTAAGTGAATGCGTAGAATCCAATTTGCCAATGTTCTAAAGGCTTCCAAGCTTCTGAAGGAGCCAGGCCGTGGCCGTCCAGTCAGCAGAGGGAAAGCGGGGCCCAGTGGGCTGGGGAGGAGCTGGGCCCCCGCACTGCCACACTGGCCCTTCACTTGCCTGCCAAGGACATGCTGGACTCTAGCTAGGGTTCCTTCATGGGGCCACCGACAGGGACAGAGAGGTGCTTGCCTTCCAGTTCTCTGCTGGGATAGTAGAACAGCATTTGGCTTGGCCAGCCATGTAGTGAGTTTGATTTGGGTATTTTTTGCAGCTGCTCCATATGCCCTACCCCAGCCCCCTCACCAACAGCTGGTAGCTTACTGTTTCTTCAAGAAGAAAGTAGAATTTAATGCTGTAAATTTGAGCTGTAGAGCTAAGATTCACTTACTGGTGAGCCGTGAGACCTTGTTGCTTTCTCCCAGAGTCTGATGGCAGTGACTGCGGTCCAGGGAGTTCTCTGCCCACCACCAATGCGGGCAGCAGGTGTGGCCCAGCCTTCCCCCCTCCCCACTGTGCTCCTTTGAAGCCAACGTGCCTCCCTCACCTCCATGCTGGAGGGAAGACGCAGGGGAGAATATAAAAATGCTTGGCCCTAAAGTTGAGCCCACTGGATTAGGACCAGTGCGAATGACACAAGTGTTGAAGATGCTTTAAGCACTACCAGCCAAATTCAGGAAATCTGTTCACAGTTATCCTACCAGCATACTGAGGCTAACTGTAAAGTGTGGGGCCCAGAATGAGGGTAATGAAAGGGCAGCAGCTTTCCCTTGGGCAGTACACTGGATTGAAGGCAAAGAGGGATGAAGTTATGGCCATTGTGCCTCTGATGTGGGGGGTGAGCAGGGAGTGTTGATTCTGTGATGGTAACTGACATGTCTGAATGATGCTGGACCCTCCCTCCCTCCCTCCTGGGGAAGAAAAGCGAAGATTCAAAATAAGCATGACACTAGTTGGTTTACCAGTGTTCCTTCCAAGGAGACATATATTTTTTAATAAACGATAGTTGCAATGAACTGTGGCTCAGAGACCTTCTTGAAGTAATTGAGCAGGGCTGATGGGGGCACAGTGATGGAAAGAGCTGCCCAAGCATTTGCGTGGAGGTTGAAGGACTGTCTCCTTAGTGGATCAGCCAGCAAGCCAGGCCATCCTTGGGATGGGTGCAACCTCTGGGGTGGCGACAGGTCATTTGTGAAACCTGTGTTCTCAGGCTTCTGCCCTGACCCAGATGCTGCCTTATACAGCACTGACCTAATGGGGTTCCACATCCTTGGTAGCCAAATGCTGACTTTTTTTCTAAAAGGTACACAATGTGGGGGAGGCCTGCAGCAGCAAAGAGGTCTGTTAGAAAAAGCAGGGGCCAGCTTAGCAGTGGGGAGCTGAATGAGGAAAATGGTAAGAGAAAACTGCCTGCCAGCTATCAGCATTGTGAGAATGAGGGAGGGATGGGGCCCCATTTGCGGTCTTCCCTGTGGTCCTCAGAAGAAGTGTTCATAGCAGGTATCTCTGACATGGTTGATGCCACTGCAGCTCTGTGGAGGAGCCTAAGAAAGTGCTGCCATAATTAAGGTCAAGAACGACAGCTGAATGAATGAGCAACACCAACGTGGGTGGGCTGAGCCACAGTAAGGATGATTATCCTCACTTGTTTATGGTGCTTTATTATTTGCAGGGTACTTGGCTTTCCCACATTCTCTCATTTGCTAGAAGGCAGCCCAACAAAAGGGAGTCCCCAGAGAGCTCCATGGGGATTTGAGGAAATTTAACTCCTGAGTGCAAAGGGAATATAGGTTTGGGCCTATAGTTGTGCTGTGCTGAGACTGTCTTCACAGCCAGTGTCCCTCCTGGAGGAAGTACAGCTGAAGAAAATTATGTCCCAGCATGAGAGATAACTGGGGAAACAATAAAAGGAGTCAGGCCATTGGACCCACAGGCAGCTCCCTGGCTCCATTGAGGAGCAAATTTGGGTCTTCTCCCAGTCCTGCTGCTGATGTCTTGATTTTTTCATCTCTAACAGGAAGAGCCACAAATGTTCATGGGATTATCTATGAGTGAAATATCTGTTCAAACACAAATAACCAACTTTATCTGCAGTTGAAAGTGCTTCTAGACATTAGCTAAGGAAAGCAAAATCTTTCCCCAAAGCAAGTGTGGAAGTCAAGGGCTCAAGGACGAAGCTAATGTGGTTTGCAGAATAAAAGTGGGATTGAGCTGCACAACTGAGAAGAGCTGAGCAAAAAAAAAAAAAAAAGGTGGAAACAGAAGGGGCCCTGGGCATGAGCCAGAAGGTCAGTTCTAAAGACAACCAGAGCCTTTTCTGCAGGGATGGTACCTTCTTGGTGCCAACCACTGAAAGCCAAGGTATGAGAGAACCTCATACAATGAGATAAGCAGTGGCCCAGATGCCTAATGAACTCATGGGGCCATTGGTGTTACCCACTCTGTCTCACTGTTCTCATCTAGGATTTCATGGCCTCAATTCCACTAATCTTTTCATTTACTCAGGCTGCCTTGGCATTCTAGGACATTTTATTATTGCAAATAATGTTTTGAAGCTCAAATTCCAATTTCCTTAAAAGCCCCCATCACTTCCAAGAGATAGTATAACTGGCTCCATATACCTCACTTCCTCCCCAGTGAACAGGGTGTTAATACCTGTGCTTTGCCAGAAAAATAGAACTTCTTTGACAGTGAAGCCTCAACAGATCTCTGCAGAACCATCCCCATTGTGCACAGCGTGATGCACATGGGTGGCCTTTTCCACTAATTAGACTGAACTACCAGCACAGCCCATCCTTCCTCTACCCTGGTAGGCTAACCACAAGTATCCAACACTTCTAGAACTAGCAAATAGGTGACCTGAGAGCAGACTTCCCACCTGTGCTCTCCCAGTGAACAGCACTAGCAAGAGAATGTCCTGACTGGCCTTACTGTTTGCCACAAGCAGGCAGCCAAAGGAACCAGCTCCCAAGCTCCTTAGCATGGCCCTTCTGCAATCGGGCCTTGGTTTTTCTCCTGCTGTTGTCCCCCTCTGCTCCAGCTGTTTGAGTTCCCATAGTACACTGCAACCTCAGATCTTGGCTCATGCTTCTTCTTTTGCTTATAAATGCCCTTGCTGTCACCCATCTTGCTCACCCAGAAGGCTCCTCTTTTTGTTGTTTCTGTTTGTGTATTGGGGTACTGGGTACTGAACTTAGCAGTGCTCTACCACAGAACTGAATTGCAGTCCTTTTTTTTTTTTTATTTTGAGATGGGGTCTAACAGTGGGGCACACCTGTAATCCTAGTGACTGGAGGCTAGGTCAGGAGGATTGCAAGTTTGAGGCTGGCTTGGCAACTTAGATCCTGTCTCAAAATAAAATGTGTGTGTGTGTGTGTGTGTGTGTGTGTGTGTGTGTGTGTGTGTGTGTGTGTGTAAATAAAGCTGGGGATGTAGCTCAGTGGTAAAGCTCCCCTGGATTCAATCCCCAATATAAAAACAACAACAAGAAAATAAGCCCCTCTACCTATGCCACCTTTCCTGAACCAGCTCCTTCCCTGGAGGTGGAATTGACCCTCCCTTCCTGTGTGCTTTGTCCTCTAACAGCTAACATCTGTTTCCTGTTTGCAGTGGGTCAGGTGCTATACTAAGTGCTTTATACAATACTACTCCATCTATTGCCAAAAATGGTCCTGTGGTGTAGGTGCTTTTTATTATCCTTATTTCCTAGATGGGAAAACTGAAGCACAATGTGGTCACATGACTAAAAAGTGACAGAACTATGAACCAAACAGACAATCTGGCTGTAGCAGCTATGCTCTTAAGTACCATGATGGCCTGTCACTTTGTAATACTCAGAACATGGTGCTTCCTTTATCTTTATTTCTGTCTCCTAGTCTCTTTGAGATCAGAGACTGTTTTGCTCATCTGCAAATCCCCAGCAGTCAGTGCACAGTCCACAGAACGTAGGTACTCGGGAAAAGAGAAGAGCTACAATATTCTTTGGCTCAACCTTAGAGGGAAGTGATTTGAGTAGATCCAAGCCTGTAGTGATTGAATTTGTTTGCTTTCTGGACTTCTGCAACTTCCTCTGGCATACT